CCCTTTAACATCGTGCTGGTAATGATGGCGCAATAACAGCAATAGCAGTTATAGCCACATACAGTATAATCACCAGGCTAATAATGATGAGCAATAATGATAATAGTGATAAAAGCCTGGTCGCGAGTGTAGAGGCGCAAGCACTATTAGTGCCGCGATCAATGCAGCAGAGCTATACATAAAGTGATCGAGCGTCACTGTGCTTCATTCAGACGGCGGATTCTTCATGCTGTTGTTTCTCTTAGTCCACATTGTAACCGAACAAGTTAAAAAATAACATATTGTGTTCATCAATAAGTGCTGTAAAATGAAAAGCTTGTATAATTCTAGATAATGCAATTAGCAAATACGCTAATAATAAGTAAGCTTTGGTAAGTCAAATAAATCTACATTTACACTTTTAAAACATCACTTAAACATAATATTGAAGTGTAATAATACTAAAGACAATATGTGAGTGATTCGTCGGCTTTAGAAATGATATATGAACCGAGGTGTCATGGGCAACATTTCTCATATTCGTCATTCGCCCCTCGACAACCAGTCATTTGTGACAATTTTCACTCGAATAACGCGTCCAATAACCACCACAGCTCTGCGCTGACAGTAAAGTTTAGACTGTATGTGCACACTTATAACCAGGCTAGTAATACAGTTTTAGAAATAATTATAATGAAAGTGTGACTCCTTCCACTGAAATACACCTCACCTAATTTTATTTTGATTAAGTGTGTGTGTGTGTGTGTGTGTATGTGTGTATGTGTGTGTGTGTGGACGTGCACGATGTATGGTGACTGTGCCCTCGAAGTAAATTGAGGTATATGCACGGCAGGAGAGTGCATTAATTGATTTATCAATTAATGAGAAATTACATTTTCACTTTTATTACGTGTTTTGCCAATATGTGATCTACTATTCTGTGGTGATGTATTATCGTCTTTGGTGATTTATTACATAAAAAAAAACTAAAATGTAAGATTCATGTAAAATAAGGTTATTCTTATTTAAATATATATAACAAATATTTCAAATTATAGTATGACATACTCCCTATTTTTCTCAGAATATGCATGGCGTTATAACACTATATTCATACTTTTTCCGTTTTGTCTTTTCTTTACTCTCTCTACAAGTGAATCCTTGACATTCTGCACTTGTAGCAAAATTGTAGTAGCTTTTAATCAGAAAATTATAGGCTTCCTCTTTGGCAAAGCCCTATTTTGGTCCTATAAAGAGCCTTTTCATAAATATTTCTATCTTTTCGGCATTATGGCGCTGTACACAACCCCGCGAGGACACTTCTGACAACCACACTGGTCTCCTTAATGAAAATAATCCAGCATTATACTTGCCCAAATAAGAGGGAACAACTAAGGAGAACATTGGAAACTCTTTCTTTTGATCACCTAAACCTCTATGATGCACCTTGTCGTCCACATGTTTTATTTTCTGCTGCATGTTCTGCAGGTCGTGCCATACTGAGACCCCACCTTCCTTATATACCGCCTGCATGGATAGGAAAGAGTGAAGATGTGACGGGGCGTATTTGAAGTATGACGAGCTTTGTGGTCCAGTCTTTTTCATTCCCTTGTCTCAAATATACGCCCGCTTTCAAATAAGCCTCTTTGGCAATTCCATGCCGACCCCCCCCCCCCCAACACACACACACCCCCTGCCACCTTGACATGAATGGGCGACTGACCTTTAGGGCCGTGTCCACTCTGCGGTCCAGTTTTATCCAAATAAGCCTTCTTCCCCCACCCTGCCTCATACGATGCCAGCAATTCTTTACTGATATCATCAGCGGATGCAAATGAATTTGGACGGGGTGGGGGGTGCAGGAGTGGAGGGGGTGGTGTTGGTGGCGTAGTCATCGACAAAATACCACACTGACTGCAGAATGCTGCATGTGGAGAGATGGGAATATTGAATACCCCGCCACCAGAACCATACCCGAATTCAATATTGCAGAAAAAATACACATTCCTATTCCAGAAATATTGGCTGTGAAATACCACCCAAAACAAAGAATCGCCATTCAAATGAGATGCGTTTATTTCTGCATGGCCTTTGAAGAGAAGAGAGGGGTCGTGTCACTCAAAAGGACAGGGCCACTCCGTTTTAACCCCCCCTCCCTCCTTTTTGCTTTCCCTCTCTCCCACCCCTCTCCCCCTCTTTTCTCGCTCCTACCGACCCCCACTCACTTTTTTTCCCCGCACGCGCGCTCACGCTCACGCACGCTCATTTTCACTATAGCACGCTGGCGTTGGGGGCGACACAGGCTAGATTAGAGCTTTGCTCCTTTAACAAGGGAGAAGAGGCACTTCTATAATCACAGCGGCGGTATGTGGGGCCACAAAGAGTTTGCAACCACAGGGCGACTTGTCTTCTGTAGAGTAGTCCAAGCCGTGGGCAAGCCAGAGAAATCCTCTAACCAACGTATTACTAGGATCAAAACACAGTGGTTATAGTGCGTGAAGAGGTTATTAACCCACAGAGCACAGCAAAAATACACTTCTAAATCTTCAAACAGCATAACCCTGGCATGGTCTGACTTAAGACAATTCAGCACGTTAACAGCACCAGAACACAGCGCGACTGTTCAAGTATTTTTTTAGTATGTAGAGAGAGCCATGCATCCCTTGTCGACGATTTAGAGTGCGTTACTGCACGACTACTGGCACCCCTCCCTTCCTAAAGCACAGCAGTGTAACATGGACATACACACTTGATGGATGGTGCTGAGCAAGATGGAAAAAAGACATGTATTTATCAACATGCCGCATGTCCTCTGAGGAGAGAGAGAGGGAGGGAGAGAGAGAGAGAGAGAGAGACCATGGAGACTAAAGGGAGTCAATAGGGAACCTTACCATTGTAAGGAGCGGTTCCCCGTGGCAAAGATGAAAAATACCCTTCAATGCATCGTTTCAGTCAATCATAATAGACCCACAGCAGCCTCTCTGATCAATCAATGTAAACACAGATAGTAACAATACAAACTTCAACTTTGACAGTAAAACAACATAACACAACAGTCAGTGACTAGATAGATAGATAACAATGTCTTAATATCTGTGAGTCTATTATTGACCGTTCTCTTCACAGATACATATTTGTCACGCAAGACGTAAACTAATCCCATTTGTTTGTGATTTGATTTTTTCACGCTATTTTCAGACAACAGTTTTATGAGTATTTGCACAAACGGGCTAAGATAAAAAGAAAACTACATTTATTCTACGGCAGACACAGGCTTTTATCATGTCATAGTAAACCTAACATAGTCATAAAATATAAACGGAATGAGTCTATTAAGCAAATCCTTGGCAAATGGCATTCACATGTGTTTAGTGGAGTGGTTTGATACCTGCTAAAAAAGCTTGCCAATTCATTGTCATAGGATAATATGGCAAAGGACTACTGAGGGTATAGGCTCAGTGGATTATATCTTTACACGCATTATTCTGCTTGAGTGACTGGCTGAAAAAAACTCACAGGCTACAACAAAGATTGGTCAGGCATGAATGCAGCCCTGTGTGTTTTGTCTTCATAACATATTAATCCATCAAACCATGAAGTGTGGACATTTACTTTTTTTTTAAACTTAAGAGTAAACTTCGGAGCAGTTTAAAAGAAAACTTTGCATGCACATAAAGCAGAGCTCAATAGTGGCCCCAAACTTTTTTATTCCCTTACTTTTTTATCTTTGTATTTTTGCATACAATGCAGCCAAAATGGGTCACCAATAAATTCTGTCTCAGCGTTGATGTAATTGCAACAAAATGCTGCTGAGTAAAAATTGAGGGGCTCAGTGGCAGCGTCACACACCATCTGGAGTGTATTAGAAAGAGAAGCCATAAATATTACCGAAAAGCCCAGGCGTTATCAGGTATGTAAGCCCGAGCCTTGCTGCATGGCCTCCCATATGTTGACATAATCAGACTGTTGGGATGTCTATTAAAACGTATCTGAATTTATTAAATGAACACAGTAATTCAATTCAGTTTGTTTGTTCAGATCTCCCAATGACTCCCAGTGTTGGTCTGTTTACATTTTTGGAGAGGGTGGATTATTATGGGATGAAACGCTGCAGGGACTCATGGGATAGTATCACGGTATTGAGGTTGCTGTTATGGTTGGACCATGAGCAACAGGTTAACATGGCTTCAACTTCAACTTTCCCCTAAATTGAATTAACTTAACAGCTAATTATTATACGCGCCGGCATTAGTTATTGGTAAGTACGTTTGTCTTTTATAACGGCATCACTTTGCCGCTGAGAAACACGCAGATCCTCTCAAACTTGACAGAATGAATTAGAAGCTTGAGCTGCAAACGCTCTGTTACATCCGATTCACACTTTTCCCCATTAAAACCAAACATTTCCTTTCCGACCGACCATCCCGGTTTCCTGTTTCCTAGTAGGTAGTGTGATTTATTCCGCATTCAATTTCTATATTATTCTGTTTGCAAACACGCGCGTACAAACATGTAAACCTCCATTCGTAAACATGGGTCCATGTAGGCTACTGAGCATACAGCTAGTACAGTAGAGACAAAACTTCCTCTTTGAAGTTTAATGCCACGTGCTGATTAATTCCTTAGTGATGAAACACAGCCACATGCATATACTGTATACGGACACACACACACACACACACACACACACACACACACACACACACACACACACGCACACAAACATGGTGTTGCATGGACACATGTCCATCCTCTTTCAGTTTTTACGTATATATCCCTCCTCCCCTTTCTCTCACACTTCTCTCTCTCTTTCTCACTCACTCCCCCTGGCTTTATTCGTTTCAGTCCGAGGACACTATGCAAAAGACACGCACACACACACACACACACACACACACACACACACACACACACGGAGGAAAGAGAAAGAGTAGAGAAGGAAAGACAAGAGGAGGAGAGAGAGAGAGAGAGAGAGAGAGAGAGAGAGAGAGAGAGAGAGAGAGCGTCAAAATGAGCCTTACTTTTTTTCTTTTCCTGCCGTGAATCTTCGTCCATCAGTCGTTGACAGAGCATGACTTGATCCAGCCACTTTTTTTCCCCAGTGCTAAAAAGTCTGTTGTAGTGCGCTTTAATTAATATATTTCTGGGCTGTGTCCCGAACCCAGAAGCTTTAGAGAGGGAAGAGGAGTGCAGATTGAGACATATTGAGCCCGCTTTAAAAGGATCATTTCATCATGTGGGAGGTTGGGACACACAAAGTTTGGACCCGTGACTGGCATTCCGGAGAGACATGCATATTTTAAAACAACAAAGCAAGACAGAGACCGGGGGCCCCGGGGTGGGAGGGGAGAAAACTTGGAAAGAAGTTACTATCAGATGAACAGCTGTCATTGTTGGGCAAGACTTCAATGCATATTAAGATATAGTCATCTGAAAAAAGGCGCTTGTCTAAATAATGTCATTGGTAGTCCCTGCATCACTCATTCACATCTTTAAAGTTTGAATTTATTCATTCAAACCTTTATTTTACTTTCTGAAATAGTAGAATTGCAAATCATTTATATAATGATGGAAATCACAACTTTAACTTTTTAAGGTTCAGGTATTTGGAATTTAGTTTTTCTTTGCTCTTACAGCATTATTCAATCTGTGTTTATTCTACAGAATATGTTAGAGTTGTAACTAACGGCTTTAATAGTAAACTAGCGGACAAACGTTTCAAAGGTAAAATTATATTTCACAAAGTGACACTACATGGAACCAATAACGCCCCAAACTAAGTGGAAAAATATTTACTATACAATTGAAGTGGAAATATAATTATTTTAATTTACCTTCACATAATGAACATACAGGGTGTATTTTTTTAATTCCCGAAATATCTAAATAATAGCCGTTGAGGTTGCAATTTAAAACATCTCCCTCGTCTATGTTGTCAAGTCACACACAATTGTATATCTCTTCCAAGTAAAGCGAATGTGCTTTGCGCTGTCACTTCTGCACTGCTTTTACAACATCGCTCTCCCCCCTTTTTTCTCTGCTTTACTGGAAGGCTTTCTCTCTTGTGCACGGGGTCCATTCGTGCAAAAAGGGTGGAGAAGGCATACATACAAATGTGTTGGCTGTGACGAGAGATCTGTTCGCTGGAAATGAAGGGCCAGGGGAAGAAGACAAAGGGGGGAAAATGCATGCAGTGGTGTAGAGCTGGATATCTCTGTTAGTTGTCAGCGTTTAGTCCATGGCTGTGGAATGCTAATGAGTGACGTCTCTCTCCCTTTCTCTCTCCTTTCTCCCCCCCCACACACACACACTCTCTCCCTCTCGGGGAGAAGAAGCGGATCGATAGCTGACCCGATGGTTTTGGCCAATGCTTTATTTATCTGGCCAGGCAATGATATTATCAGCCTTGAACGTTATATACAGCAAACGTCTTCCTAAATCAACACAAAGGGATCCGCTTACACAGCAATCCGGGCTTTTTCTCACAACCACCTCTCTCTTACTCTCTCTCTCTCTCTCTCTCTCTCTCGACCAGTAGCGCGCGCACACGCGCTTACTTACGCTGGTAGAAACACGCTTTTACGCACGGGCATGCAAACGAACGCGCCCGCACACATACAGATAGACCTCACACATATATAAAATCCCTACCATTGACTACACACAGTTTAGCCAATCATTACGAACTTGCGTGCGCACACACACACACACACACACACACACACACGTACACACACATGCGCATGGAGGCGTCCCCGGGAGGAGTCCCCTTATGTTACATTCACAACTTGGGATACTTTATACCCCGTAGGGCTGGATTTGATCCATGGCTTAAAGGTTGCCTATGAGGTCCGCGGACAGATCTCAGAACAGCACGTTGTAATCATAAAATATGTCTCTCTCCGTTGACTGTGTAAAGTCAATACAACAACAACATCGGGCTGTTAGCTGGGATATAGCGGAAACATCTCACGGGAATCCATTTAATTTTGGACATTTGTCCTCACTGTGCCGTTCCCAGCCATTTTGCAAGCTCGTGTGAGTGAGGTGCGTGGTAGACACGGTGGAGCACTTGTCGTCCTGTGTTGTCATCATTTTTACGCACAAGACAATATGAGAAATAAGCCGTAGTCATACTTCAGAGGGCCCCCCATTCATACACGGAGCCGCTATTTGGAAATTGTTATTGTCTCAAACAGCAGTATTTGTCAAATGTGACCAAGAAAACTAGGCTACTATAAGTGAAATGAAGTGACTTGTGACGCCAATACAACGTTTCCACAGCTGCATAAAACCATTGGCTTGCATTGAGGGTTTTGGAGAAATAGGTTCGCTGACAACTTAGGATAATAAATGTTTCGCTTTCAGACGGATATCTCAAACGTGAAATCGCACCCAGCTGCTTGTGTAAAGCAAACAAATAGCCCCCCGTGTTAGGAGTCCTCCACTTGTGGTTTGATGAATGAAACTAGACAAAGGTAAATGGTTATTTAACTCATTTCGTAGTAACACTTTGGTAACCGGAGTTTCCGAAATTACAGAGACACAAATGGGGCCCATAGTGTGCCACATATCCATCTCCCTTACCCACCGCAGCTATAGTCCAATCTGACAGTGCATTTACTTCCTCTTAATGCACTTTGTACTTTTTATTTTGTTTAATAATAAAGTATACTAATAATGCTTTCATCACAGCAGAGGATAAGGAATTTGATGATGCATGTCTATGATACATATAGCTTTATTATTTGAGGTGTTGCATTATGTACCAATTTGTCAAAGAATCGAGAATGGTCCACAGTCTAAATAGAAAATATCACTTTTTCCAGAGACCTCGTGTGTTTCGCTTGTATTGCCTTTACTGAAACGTTAATTAGCAACACATGCCACCATTTCGTCTATTTATGAACTATTGCTTTATATAGCCTGTGGTATAGCAACTGCATAACCGAATGCTCTCAGCAAGAGGATAAAAGACAGATACTCTAGAGGGATTTAGAATACATTATGTGGAGACAACCAGCTGAAAGCTGCGTTTAATAACCAAACAAACAATTAAGTCCAGAGCCACATTAAACAAAAACGACCTGCACTGTTGCGATGGCCTTGGTGAAGCCATATTCTAGTCTTTGAAAAACAAACATTTATTCGCACATTCAGCTTTCCTTCCCGTCCAGGAAACGATCATCTGGATTATTTCCAAAACAACACACGCTAAACAATTCCAGTGCTTCAGTAATTATCTTTTTTAACGCTGCGTTTTAGAGGTCGGTAATGTGTGTATATTGTTCAGTTGTGTTTAAATTCAGCATATTCTGCCACCAGTACCAAGCAGAAAGGAATGGCTCAACTAACTCATTATTCTGCAACTTACACCTGACCTAAAGCTCCGGGAGAATCATACCCTATTCATAAAGAAACAACGATCCAACCTGACGAAATATCACATCCATGTTTGTACAGTGGCTTAGGCAACAACAAGGCGTCTGACAACTGACCCAGTGCTACAGACAGGTCGATTGGGAGCTAATAGGTACAATATGCCCGAACAGACTCATGAGAATGAAAACTGTATCCCTGTGAGAGAGCATTTGAGGACAACCTAAAGCACAACCTATAGTAGGCTATCATTCCAGCACGAGTGAGAACTAATTAATACCTTTATATTATAGCCTTTGAACGAGACAGGCAATATAAACAAATAACCCACTGGCACAAATACCCCTCCCCCAATCCTATAAGACAGATAACAAATATGGCGATATCAAATTGCGACATTGCAACGCGCTACATGCAGTTCAGCTCCCGTCCTCCTGTCCCTCATCGCTGCCAGTCATCAGATGAAGATGTGAGCAATATGGCACACAAGCAACACGTCTGATGATGAAGAAGGGGGACTAACAGGCAAATGTAATAATTGTCACACCGAAACCCCATTTTCTTCTTAACGCGATCCAATTTATCACATTTTACCCCTCTATGTGAGTGTAACGCTGTAATGACAGTGAGGGTAGATCCAGGTCCATGACTGGGCTTCCTGTGTCATTTTGTGGAGTACATGGAGACAAAACGCACAGAGAGACAGACCAATGCAAGGACAGAAACTCCATGTAACCCATCTAACACGTTGAGGACTTATCGATGTACTCATTACATTCTGAATGTATCAGGCAAACCAAGGCCATATCTCTTTCTGTCTCCCTCACACACACACACACACACACACACACACACACACACACACACACACACACACACACACACGCACACGTGCCTTCCATCTCACACGTTTCCCCTCTCATTTGTCTCTGCACCGGCTCCACATTCTCTCTCTCTCTCTCTCTCTCTCTCTCTCTCTCTCTCTCTCTCTCTCTCTCGCTCTCTCTCTCTCTCTCCTTCCTCCTCTCTATTCCCACACAATGCATCACCCTCGGTGTTCCTATCGACTGGCTTACATGCTGTAAAATACATTTTCCAGATTGATCACGCATATCACAGCAGCTTTGCAGCGGGGCCTAACCCTTTTGCCAAATGACGCCCACATCAATATTGAGGTATGCACTATCAAGGCAGAGTTTTTAAGAACGGGGGAGAGGGGAAAATTGTTTGGTTTGTGAGGAATCACCTTGATTAAGCCACATGAGGTAGGATAGAGGTGGCTCTGTGTGGTGCGCAGGCTTTCCTCACTGTCTGGGAAAATATTAAACATTAATACGCGCACAGGCTGGCAGAGAGCTCACCAATTCCTCGTGTATAGCCTTCCCTCCTTTGTGTTAGCAATGTCAGTTATCTCCGTGAGTCTGTTAAAATGTAAAGTATGCACCCATTGTTTCATTACCACACTTAATCCCGTGTTTCACCTCGTTTTCGGTGGTATTGGCGTATTAGAGAGAGGCAAAATTCAGAATTATATTTCAGTATAAGGCAATGCAGAACAGTACACTCGGTGACTGTAGACGGCACTTGCGCTCAGGAGCCCACAGAGACAACAGATTCCCCCTGATGATATAAAATAAGACCGAGAATCTTGATATTTACTTCCAGGAAAATGCTTGAGAATGAGACATTGTTGCCTATTTCTTTTTTAATAGTACAGTCACCATCACACAACTTCATCAACCGACCCTTCTGCAAAAAGCTGCATCATGGAGTAAGCAAATTGAAGGCAACAACCAATAAAATTCAAGAAACAATGAAAATATTCAAGACGAAACAAACAAAATGTATTTGAAATGATATATTAAAAGTGCTTTTGATTTTCATGTCTCTCCTTTGACTGATGATCGACTCCACACGCACTCATGGCCCGGGGAATGGCGCCCCAGACGTCCTCTCAGTTAAAATGTCCTGGAGGTCAGTTTGCTGCTGTTGCAGGTCCATCGTTTCAATTGGGAAAAAAGTTCAACCATCAGTGGTGATATTGTCATAGCGATTAGACTGTTTCTTAATTGTCTAAATTTCTTTATTTTTCTGTTTTTAAATTCTCACTTCAATTTTAATTCTTGGAGAACATAGCTTCGACAACATATATCGCACTCATTATAAGAAGCAAAAGGTTATATCAAAAAAGTATTAGTATAGAATCACAGAAACCCTGGTTTAGAACCAGAAAAAATACAAAACAGAGAGGTACATAGACACAGGACATTTCTTATAATTGCTTGGAAACATTATTTTCCCGCTAAGTCTTGATTCTTTTTTTCTTACTGCGCATATGATGTTTTTCATTGTATTTGTATTTTTTACAAAAAAGGAAAATAAAGACTAGTATTTTACAAAATGAAGAGTATTGTTCTTGACGATGAGGGTGGATTTACACAGGTGTAAAGTCCAGTTCCAATATTTTTCTGTACATAATGTATTCCATCTCAGTCCCAGAAGACAGAAAAAAAGTAATGTCCTCCAAGTTTTTCAGAAAAGGTCCTATATATAGTCTTCTTGGAGGAGGATGGGGTGAGGGGTGCTGAATTTTGGTCCTTTCTTTCCTCTCTTTTTCCCACTTTCACATTAGGATCATTGGATGGACATGTAAGGCCAGTTGAAGCTGCTCCCGGATAATAGCATATCCCTGATGAGGGTTTCAATAGGAGTTTTACCTACCAAGCGGACGAAGAACAGCTGCTCGATTACCGACGATGAGACGGTGCGCAGAGAGGGCAGCCGCAGCAGGAGCTTCCCAAAGCGGCTGGGCTGGTTCGGGTACTGGCTCCTCACGTACTCCTCCAGGGCGCACTGAGATTTCTCCTGCAGGCTCTCGATGTGAGCAGCATCCGACAGGCCGCAAGCGTCTGAGAAACACACACCAAAAACACTGTGGTCAGGCTCGACACGTCTCTGAAACCCCAAGGTACGACATGTTATGAAAAAGCCTCTCAATCGGATTTTATTTTGGTCTTAAACCTCAACATGTCGTGGAACAAGTGAAACAATATTGGCTAAAAATATATTCTTAATAAGGTATTATATTATTATTAAAACATATCAGACTCTTAGGTCACCAAGCTTTCAAATAGGTGGTAAATATACATTCAACTTTTTCATCATATATTATTTTAAATATAGGCTATACCACTCAAATGACTCTGCTGACAATTCCACTTAATATTTTCTTTTCAAAATATGAACACAAAAGCGCATGGTCAATTTTGGCCTCACGTGGGCTTAGCTGTGACAAGTGCACACCTTGCCATGCCCAATTTTAATTCCTGCAGAAGCACCCTGTTATCATTCAACATCGGCCTTTACCTACTATTGACAAAATGGAATGAACAAACACACTGCCCAAACATGCTACATCACATTGAGCGAGTGGGACTGTCACGCAGAATAAACAAGGGGCTTGCTGCTGAAGCAGGGGATGCACAATTCAGTGGAGGGTATCTCTGCCTGCTCTAACAACAATCAACAATAATATAGAGTTAAATGTCATGAAAACAGTGTTGTTAACGTGTAGAGGAAGAATTGACGGGGCAAATGGAGCGAAGGCGAAAGGTATAGGGTACAGGCCTAAAGGCCGATGCTCTTGATGTCTGAACTCTGGGGATTCAAGTATAAGGAAACATAAACGGCACTGATGAATCTGAAATTACACCGGATGTAATGTGACCTAATTACTCTGCAGTAAGCTGTTAAGTCATTTCGCCGAACTTCTCTCCATAGACTGCTTTTGCCCTGTTTTTTAATGTAGCCTATAGGACAGGCCGCTGGAAGCAATCATATTTATTAGAGGAGGTGAAGTCAATAGTCACGCAGAAGCGACATAAAATGTCAGAAAATGAGCGTATGCAACACGCAGGCGAGACGTGTGTTTTGGTGCACACTGGTGGTTTATGCAGACTTGTGCAGCCACGCTTAACTATAGACAAAGCATATAAGGCTTGTTAGTTTCGTACAATGTCCTGTTATAAAAAGACGGTTTTTTTACACAACCCAAGCATGCGTGTTCTATAAACTGCTGTAAATGCAAGCAGCATAACCGCTGGCATACATGGTCCACGTAGTCTAGGCTGTCCTCAACATATTGAGCCTGTGCTTTTGTAAAGACTACACAAGGAAGACAGCTTTAGTTTTCAAGCACTAATACATTAAACACCGGACAGAGGCGTTTAAGCCTATTCGTGAGTCCTCAGTGCTATAACTCACTATGGCCAGACACAATAACCTTATGAACCCGGGGGCAACGCTGAGATCTTGGGGTGATTTACTGTGACCTTATTCCGGCCGGTCAAAGCCCCATGTATGCAAATTCCTCTGGATTAACGCTGAGTGTCCCTTTTTAAAAACTACAGCAATCAATAATCCTATTAATTAATTACATTTAGAAAATTCAGGTAAAATAGTCGATAATAATGCATCAAGAGAAAGCTGGTCAAAGACACCCAATAGTTCTCCATCAGACCTGCCTGCAACCCTGCACCCCACTACCCATACCGAGACGTGGGAGCAGATCGCTTCCAGATTCGACTATTTCTGTGGTAGTTTAGCAAAGGCACACACTGCAGCGTGGATAAGGACTTAGTGTAAGACAATGATCCAGACCTGAACTCTGGTGAAATAGTGTAGCCTGTCCACCATTCTGTATGCATCACATACTGACAAGACTCGTGTTATTAAAGGCAAACAATCCAGGCTGGTCTTGGCAACGTGCCACATGACTTGTTATAGCCAACACCAGTTGTTGCCTATCAACCTAACTAAATCATCTGCTAGAAAATAGAGGTCGTTAAGAAGTTTCTCTTGGTAATCTGCGGTGAATTAGTGAAACGCAGGGCAATAGGAAAATATGGCCAAATATGTGCGCACGGTAAAGTGAATCAAACAGGATGTCATATTACTAACTGAGGCAAAGTATTTATTTGAGTTAAAACATATATTTACCTAACAGTATGCCTTCAAATTGTTGCGTGTCAAAGTTGCCAAACCCCCAAAACTGAAAAAGTAGTTATTGTGGCTCCTGAAACTAAAAAAAGATATAAAAATAGAAAGTTCTCTAACTGGAGGAAAACCTATGTGGTAATGTTGCATTCGCAAAAAAATAATAATAAATGAAAATATAATTAAAGGTGGTTCCTATACATTTGGAGAGCACTCAAGAGTTTAGATAATTTAGATCCTGACTATACACAGCTTATTATTACTTTATAAATATTGCGTTGGATTATGTATCAATAATATAATAAAAAGCAGTAAATGTATGCATGTATGCAGTTGTACATCAATGTGACATTAGGTAAATAATAAACAATAATTATTGTGTAACTACTCAATATAAAATTGAGTTATGACGCTTTCTAGGGATATTGAAAGTGGTGATAATTTCAATATAACTCCAAATCTGAAAACTACAGTAAAACTGAATATTTTATCACGAACGTGTCCAATTATAGGATATGTACAACCATGAGACAGATTTTTTTAATGGGCCAAATGTGAGACAATGAAGTCAAAACTTTGAGGTTAGTTTTGAAGTAGTTTGGGGCCTGTCTTTCCTATTCCTTCCAATCACTACAAGCCTCCCTTGACATAACGGGCCTAAAGGCACCACGCGTACACAACTAACTCCAAAATATCATCTAAATTACGCACCGAGAGTAAATGAGGACCTTTAAGACCTTACCCCAGTCACCTATCAATTAAGCTATCAACAATGTAGGTTACTGTTGGACATTTTGGCTGGTGTCTTTTCAACACGTGTGGAACAAAATAAACTATCCTCAATAACTTAGAAAACTAATAGGTCAGCTAACAATCTATAGCAGTCCTACAGCAGCGATGCATTGACATATGAGTCAACCTCCATCAGCTTTTTTGATCTCAGTCTGCTAAGGATTATTTCCTTCCCTCAAGACATGTGTTTGTGCACGCAAAACAAGGATAAAAGCATGCACCAACACTCATAAATGCATCAGCTGTCATATATCATTCTGCGATAGACTATTTGATCTTTACGCTCGATTATTTGACACCTGTTCTAAAATTTATGGACGCGAACCTACAGTCTCGCTCTCGGCTCAGTCGTGTTCAAGAAAGTTTAAACTCAACAATTATAAAATATTTACATATATGAGATTGTCAATTATATCCGATTTAAAGCGCATTTATCTGAGTGTTACAGTAACAAACTTGATGCGCTCACTCAATCTGGATTTGTTTACACGTTTTATGCTGTGGCTACAACTGACATGGGAATGCATGTAAGTGGATATGTAGCAAGCTGTTTACAAAATAGCTATTCCATCGGCAACGCAAACATCTCGTAAACTCAGATTTGTGACCAACCTATACTTGACAGCCATATTCTTGACGCCAGTGTTTCGCCCTGCGAGCCTCGCTCAGTGCCCCCAGTAACATTACTACAACTAGGCCTCATTTGATTATAGACGTTTTCCTATGTGACATGTTGCGGACACCCACCTGATGTAAAAAGCACGATGGCCTTGAGGCAGCTGTACTCTGCCGAGTCTACGTGCAGGGTCTTAAGCTTCTCCACTTGTTCCTGGAAGATCCGGATGTGATCCATGAAAGCCACAACACGGTCCGCGGACATCGGGGAGGCATGGAGGCCCGCAGCGGCAAGCAGAGGGGCCACATGCAGAGGCATGGAGCACTGGGCCGCGTTAAGCACAAACAACTCGCTCCACGTCAGCCTGAGAAGGGACACCTGGTCCGTGATCTGCAGGTCGGGAAAGAAAGGGATGTTTCTCGCCCACTCCACGGCGCTGAAGAGCAAACGAGCCGCCAGCTCGCAGATGTTCTCGATGCCCATGATATTGTTGGGCTGCATGCACTGGCTCCCGTACCGGGACGTCGGATAAGGCTCGGCCCGCAGCAATAACGAGATGTATCCGGACAGATAGCAGTGGCCATTCAGAGGGTCCCCGTTCGTCAGCGCGTACTGGCCTGGGTTGGGTTGAGTTGGAGGCATTCGTCCTCGCTGAACCGCTAACAAAAAGAAAGAGAAAAAAGAGGAAATGTGCATCCAGGACTGATAAACATTGTTCACGAGTACTAAAGCCGTAAAGCAAGCTAAAGCTAGTGTGTTTCTCTTCAGTAAAACGGCATGCCCTGAAATCTAAATTCAGCACGCTTTTCAAAACATTTTGACTCGTGAATGCCGTTTTGTAAGAGTAAATGATTATGTCGACAGCATAAACATCTCATCCAAACAGATGTGCTGTGTCCCTCAACTTGCACTCTTTGCATTTGTATTTAGGGTTGCACGCTACATGGATTGTATGCAAAATGAAAATACAATCACATTTATACAACAAACACACATTTTCTGTTATACAAAGGTACATTTAACACATGTATTATCATGGGTATTTCAAGGCGTAATTGTAGGCTATATTGTATGCAGCAACCTAGATATATTACTTTACATATTTATATTTATTTACGTGCGGTTTTGTTTATATTTACAATAATTCATTGTGGCCAAACATATTACAAATATTATTGATAAATACTGTTTGATTCAATCACATTTACGCATTTTACCCACATCAAAAGTTCAGCTGGGAATAAAAGGAATTCAGCTATTGTTTAATATTAAAAAATAAAATATTAATGTAACTCAGGGCACATTCTACTTGGGCTTGTACTTTTGTTTCACAAACAGTAGATTTTGAATAAGGGATGCTTGCATGAATTGGAAGAAAACACTTGACATAGAAAGTAAAGTTATACGGCCTGTAATGCACCAGGCAAAACAATGAGCCATGAACAACTTAAGCGGCATTATTCAGTGTGTCTGAGCTGTCTAGTCAGCATAAGGAGCTAGAGCGAGACGTGGGTTTGTAGTGTGTTCATTTTACATTCACACACACAGATAACAAACCCGTCTGTACAATTATAAATTAGTAAACTGCATTTACGTATAGAAGGGACTATTAACCTTGCCCATTGTACACGCACGCACGCACACACACACACACACACACACACACACACACACACACACACACACACAGAGCGAGAGAGAGACAGACAGACATACAGGCACACACACATACACACAACCCCTCTTCTGCTCAAAAACCTATACGTAAAAAGGGCCTGCTGGATAGAATGCCTTTGCTTGATAATAGTACAATTTACACTGCAAGAAAAACAAAATAAGGATCAGCTAGACGAGCCGCTTTGTTCAGGCGACACGCATTGACGAGCAGAACCGCTGTGGCTGCACTGGCCTTTGCCTCTTACATAGGCAGAAAGACTAACCATTCATGCAAACATCCCTGAAAAACATGGATGGAGACTGCAGTATGCTCAGCCATATGCCTTTGACCTTAATGCAATATGGCAGTCGTGTTCGTCTGCTACTAGGATGCGTAATCATGAGTGTCTTTTAAAATATATTCACCTTCCCGCCGCATTCCCACTTTTAAACATTTCTTCAGCCGGCAGTATTGGCACTGATTTCGGTGGTGCTGGTCAATGGGACAGTTCCTGTTGGCACGACATGAGTACGTTAAGTTCCTCCGTACACTCCTCTTGAAGAAACTTTTGCATCCCTCGCAGGTGAACTGGCCATAGTGTTTGCCGCTCGATTTGTCTCCGCAAACCACACATTCAATATGTTGCTGTCCAGAATTTTGACTCCCCTTTTCCCCGGCAGTCCCCGGTGTGGACGGGGGTCCCGGCTGGCTAGGGGTCTGCGGAGTGTGCGGCGCCGCTGACGCCGCCTGCTGCTGCTCCCTCGCCGGCTGCGCTGCTGGGTTGGGGCCGCTCGGAGGTCCTCCGGCCACGTCTTCCTGCGGATCTCTCCAGACGCTAACTACCATTGCCATATCTCTGTCCCTGAAAGTGCTATAAAGCGAAATGATCGCCGGTGTTTACGAAGCGTAGGATGGGGAAAAAAAAGGAGATCTCAAAAGACGGGGCAGTGCAAAGTCAAATCGGAACACGCAATCTCATATGGGGTAAGAAGGAGAGTAGAACGCGATCAATACATTCAAAATACAGGAGGGCGATTGAATAGGCACCCGATCAGGATATACAAGTATCGGGAGGCCAGTTCCAAGGTAAATTGCAGTCAGCCATTCAGGAGTCCCCGATCTTGTAGGAAAGCCAGAGTCCAGTCGTAACAAATTGCAGTTTGATATAAAATAGCCACAAAGGGAAGGCAGGAGCGATTCACATGGACGCAGGAACGAGTAAAAAAACCTTTTGCTGGAAAGACACGCGATCCAAAGTGCTGCGGAGATAAATTCCTTTCTCTTTTCTTCTCCGTGCTCCTTTACACTCCCGTCTTCGTCGTTTAGGAGTAGAGGAAAAACTGAAGAGCCGGATTTTTACATCTATTTTCTTAAATAAGCCCCATCATCTCGCCCAGCAGCGAAAGAAAACCGCGTCGCCGAATGAAGTGCCCATGTATAGTTTCACCTCTCTCCAGCAGGAGGAATGGAGATACGAAGAGAAAGATAAAAAAGAAGACCAACAGCAACAACTAATAGAATATGCAAGAAGAAGGAGAGACCCAAAAATGAATGCGCTTAAACGGGAGGACCAGCAGAGCAATGTTTCCGAAACGGGGGATCTGCGCGAATGTCTGTATATAGTGAACTTTGACACTACTATTGAAACTGACACGTTTCTATGGAGATCGCTGCGCCTTATATGGTGCTCATGTCAAGGAGCCAAGAGAGGGGCTGCTGGAGACTGATAATCAAAGGCGACTGACTGGCCAGAGCCCTGCATAGAGGAGGAGGAGAGGAGGAGAGGGGGGAGATAGGGAGAGAGAGAAAATGGGAGGCTAAGGTTATAGCCAAGCCCTCTCTTTCTCTCCATTGGTTAGAGTCCCCCTCCGTTCATTCACTGCAAAAAATGTCCACCACGAGAAGTCATCGTGTCCCGTGTTCAAATCTTGAAATGTTATATTTCTTCAAAAAACACTGTAGAAAAAAAACAAGTGCAGATTATAGACATTCGCTTGTTTCCAATCGCAGTCTGTTTCGTTTGAAGAATATGTAGGTGCCAATACAATGAAATAAAGCAGAGTAAGCAGGGGTAGTTCTTTCAGAAATTAACAATCGATGTAATAACATTTACAGTGATGGGTCGATTGGCATTGGAAACAAGTGGGAACATCCCACCCCGATTAAAGATGCAATCTGTTTTGTACTGTTTTGGTAAATGCAATATTTCCAGACTCAATACTGAACTGATGTCTGGGGATGGATATTTTTTGCAGTGTTGCAATCTACGGCTGAAGGGACTGGGGGGCTCTGACAGGCACAATTTACATTGAGCTCGCCCCGCGCTGCTATTTACTTTGAAACCTGATTAGTATGGGCCGTCTATTGTCACCAAAAAGAGGAAGAAACCCTGAATAGAATAGCAGAAAAAGCGGGGTAAAGGCAAAGGGGGACAAAGCTTTTACGCACGACAAATAGTCCCAAAACTGGGCGCAACGGCGAAAAGGGGACTCTGATTCAGAAATTCCCCAAAGTTTCAAAATGGTTTGTCTTAGACTCATATCTTTATTATAAAAGGAACGGATGTCATTATTGTTTTGAAGCGAATTTAAATGTCCACACGTTGTTTCCTCTTTGGCATGCGCATTGCGGTACATCCTCGTCTATAATCGGCACAGGCTCGCTGATTAAAACTTACAATTTAGTTAAAACTAGCGTATAAAGGTTATAAAAATGCCGATGGGGAGAATGATGCAGAAAAGACAGTGTGTTATACAAACGGGATGTCGTGCCAGCGGCCGAAAATCTCTAAAATTAGACGGAGTAATAAGCAATATTCAATAATTACCGAGGTCCTATAGTCTCCACAATCACTAAGCTGGTGTCATATTATGTCTTAATAATGACAGTAATTCAAAATCATGTGAAGTTACTAAGAATTTGCATGGGGATTCCGTTTTTTTGTATCAGGGTTTCTGCAGGCTTACCACCTCTCCAACTCAAAAATGTCTGGATCGCGCTGCCATCTAGCGTACATTGTACAATTACAACCTCATATTAATGCATGCACAAGTCATTAAACATGATTTTTTCAAAACGTAAAAGTTTATTTTAGAAATAAATAAGACCCAATTTTGCTTCCCGTTTCCTCACGTCTTTTTTTACTTTCTAAAAAAAACATCCTTTTGATGTAAAGGTTGTATAACTTAGAAAAAAAACTTTCAAAGAACAATAATGAATAAATATATTTATTTAAAACCAAATATTGTTAGTCCCAAAAATGTACAAGCCATTTGGTTACATGTGATTTAGATGGAACGTAAAGTCAAATGGATGTGCGTTAATCATCTCCAAAAACATGGTAAAACACCATGTTGGAAAAGACTAATCATTCATATTACATCAACTTATTATTTAATACAAATAAACTAAGTTGTTGTATACAAAGCTTCAACCAAGCCAATATAATAGCAGATATAAGGCAGCGTAAATATCAAGTGCCCCCTTTGGAAACGCATAGGAGGGATGGGTTGTTTTTTAAGTATTCAACAAGAGAGCTCTCTCTCCCGTCCCTGTCTCGGACACTCCACTGAAGCTCCCCGGCCATATATCCAGCTCTGTGAAAAGGTGAAACCAATAACATTAAATCGGACAAAGATTTTTTTTTTGTAAGTGTATCATTAAGATTTAACTCCACAGATTGGAAAAGGGCTCCGCAGGAGAAGAGGAGAGGAGAGTGAGAGGGACAGCGAATGGGAGCAGGGTAGGGGCTCTAATACAAAGCTGGGAAACGGCGAGAGAAAAGGGAGAAAGTGGACAGCAGGACATTAAAAGAAGAAGCACCAGCGACGGCGGTAACAGAGGAGCAGCTTTCTATCTGGATAAAAGCAGCCACCGACAAGGCAAGTACAATATTCATTTCTCACTTCTCCTACGTTACACACGCAGGGCTCGGAACGCAAGGGTAAATGATCTGTGTCATGCCACATGACCGTTCACTTTAAACCATGTAGCCGAACCGGGCTGTGTCAGTGTTACAACTTTTTAATAGTGGACAGTCGCATCTTTTCTCTACATCACCGCCGATTATGAGACTCGTCCCCCCTTTTTCCAGCTGTCCTCGCTGATTTGCACATCAGATAGTAGTGACTTCAGGCTGGTTGTAGTACCGCTGGACATGGGAGCGTTTTTTTTGTGTGCACGTCCCGTCACCTGCAAGGCTATTTGTTGTTTGAACACATAATGAAAAGATCGATAGCAGGCTGTTTGTCTCAGCGATAGTGTCACCAGATTAAAAGGGTGATCAAGGTGACCATCCGTTGGCCATCGTTTACGCTGTTTTACAAGTGCCACTTTAGCCACAATACTAAACGCAAGTATTATAGATTGGCGCAAAAAAGCTTATGCACCGGTAAGAACACGTTGTGTTTGAGAAAAGACTGCAGCGAGGAAGCGTACGATGACATACAATGAGATTGATTAAAGCAGCATTATTTATGTAAAGGTATTGTAATGAAAACTGATAAAAAATAAATGCTGTAGCAATGTAGGCCATGTTAACTTATTCCAGGACAAACTGCACGTCAATCAGCTTTGTAAAATAACCTTACATAATAACATTTAACTTAATCCTCTCAAGGGTGCATACAGTTCATGGTAATTAATCACTTCACGTGAGCCAAAGACCATTTATTTTTCATTTCCAATACCCCAAGTATTCTATATTTTTCTTATTTTGACAGAAAACTATGCATAATCTGTCTGTTAAATTATTGAAAACGTGTTAATAATTACTTAATCACATAATTATTAAACATATCTTTCAGGTAATGGATGCATTCGCGCATTAGTAGCCGTTTTACTGTAATCCACTGCTTTGCTTTGCCACAGATAATTAGTGATCTTGGAATATTAAAATTGTATCTGACTTTTTCTATTTTAATCCAAAATGAATAATCCACAGATTATACTCCACAGATGATGACGAAACTGTTTAAATTCCCCTCCTGTATTGTTTTGTCAAAGGACGGTATTGGTTAAACATTTATAGGGATAGAGAACACATAACAGTTTCGCCAAATCCGTGATGATCAATAACTGATACTCTTTTTACACAAATAGAGTAGGACGTTGTCAAGCTTCAATACTGCTGAAACCAACAAGCAGCACAATCAGTTGGGAAAACGCTGAGGTCATAAGTGCCAGCTTCCCCCAATAAAACTAAACGTGACTATAAGGACACGTTTTAGAGCATTTAAAACGGTGCAAACGAATGTAGGGATTTAGGGATGGTCGATGGTTTTTTCCTCTGCTCAAAACGCCTCCTGTGTGTGGCACACCAGTGTTACGTTTCTGGACACCGGGCTAGAGGGCCACATCCTGATGCAGATCTCTGCGACTTTAACGTCTTCCTGCAAAATTAAAACGATTAAGCAACCAAAATGATCAAAGTGATGGACACCTTGAGCATCGTTACACGTCTTCATATTAGGTCCTCGCTGTTTGTTTGAATAATAGACAGAACGTGTGGTAATAAGATGCAACTTCAAACCTACAAAAAATTTGATTTTACACTTGTTGGACTGTGCCTCTGTGTAATAAGAAGTTTGTCACTTAAGTTATCTTCATGAATAATATATAACTATTGAGTAAACACTTAGGCACCGCTGACAATGGCATTGCACTTTAGTGGAGAATGGTAATTTGTAGAATATTTGACGTTGTTTTATACATTCCCCGACCATATGAGCGCACTAACATTAGGGCAATGTGTTTTACATATGGCATTAATGCAAAATGTACTCAGTTTTACAGCATAGATGTCACATGGACAATACATCAACACAAATATAGGTTTGGTCCTTTGTCTACAAAATATATGTTTTTAGTGTTTTTGCAAAAGGGCGTCCGGATTATTTTCTTTGTACATGAATACAGTAACCCTGTAGTGCCATTATGATTTATGCTGGGGGGATTTTTTTATTACGCTAAAATCGTCAAATATAAAATGACAGTAAGGCCTTCGACTTGTTTGAAACAACAACAGTGATTTGACATGGTTTTATAAATGACAACCTAGTTGCTAGTGAAGTTAGTGTAACTTTTTACAACACATTAAAAGCCTGTATGTATGAAATGGCACTGTGTGTGTGTGTGTGTGT